AAATACTGTCCTTTGACAGAATTACTTCACATTACTGATAAAAAAATAAAAGTTTTTCTTATGATGATGGAATGTTTTTTCTTATCGTACTAAATAATATTTACCCCCGCCCCCCTCCGTTAGTTATTTCATTGAGCAGTAGATTAAATAATAAATATAAATAAAATTAATTAAAATTGAAAAATAAATTTTTAAAAATACCTAAATCTAGTTTATCCAAAGATTCTACAGATAAATGCGGATATTTTGTGAAGATAACATCGATCTTCAGCGATTTTCTAAAATTCAAACATTTTCTATTTTTTTCTTATTCCTTGATCTACTTCAAAACCTTCTATTAAAATACTTTAAATCCGACTGGAACAATAAATAATTTCTTTTCTTGATAAATCAGGATTATAATTATTTGAGAAATTAGAAATTTGGGTCAAAGGAATTGTGTTCTTGTCCTGTTCTAATTCCTTAACTTTGAAAATTGATGATGAAAACCTTTGATATTTCAAACTTAGATTATTTGATAAAACAGAATTTGAAATATCTTAGCTTTTTGACCTTCAGTAGCAAAGATAAAGGAATTAGAAAATCGGAGTTTGTGTCAAAGACTCAATTCCTTTTAAGTCACAAGAGATAATAATTCTGAATTATAATAAACTTATTTGAAAACGTTTCCTTGCAATATATCCCAGCTGATCTAGAAGGAAGGTTGGAGCCACCAGGTAAGTTTTCATCCTAAATTTTTTTAGTTAATACTTTAAATTCTTTCTTTACTTTCTTGTTGAGAGTTAAGCCCACGCCCGTTCCAAAAACGTGAATGCCAGCCGGATAGTTTCAAGTACGAGGGAGTTAGAGCGTCGGACAACTCTTCGCGGGGTGCAATTGAAATCATATGCATTTGAGAATGCATGTGATTATAAAAAGAAATGAGCGCTATGCAGAAAAATACAAATAGAAATTTAAAAATAATTTTCAACTAAAAATTCTTTGTAAAAGGGATTTTCAGATTTATCTTGCAAAGACGACGAAAGAACGTGTTAGAGTTAAACACGTTTTAACAACGAAAAACGACTTTTTATTACTCAGATAGAGATTTAAGGGTATTATGGTGAATCGTATATGCCACTTTTTTCCTTTTTTATTAAAGGGGAAACATTTAAAATTACGTCTTTAATCACAGTTTGCTTTAAGTTGCTAAAAAANGACATGTGTGGTATTGCAAGAGTGTACCTTATTCCCTCTTTTTTCCGGACAAAATCCTCCCTTGTTAGAAGATCAAGCAGACGACTATACAACGTGTCTGTATCGATACTTCCCAGGTCCTAAACAAATACAGTTCAATATTATTATCATTATGTTTTTTAATCTTAACGGAGTTTTACTAACCATCGTTATGTATCCGATGAATAATTAATCAATGCTAAATAAATCTTAAATTTTTCCGGAACGAACCGTTTTCAAATTTTAAGTTTGAGGTTTCATTTTCAGTAGAAGCCCAGTTGAATAATTTAAAATTATCGAAAAACTTTGAGATATCATAATTTTTGGTTGATTGATTGATTGGGGGTTAGGGTATCAGTACCCCTGTTGAAGACCCCAAAATAATAGAAGAAAATTGAGGTTAAAGAAATATCTATTGATTGATAGATTAATGCATCAGATCAAATTTTGATTTATTGGTTACACAGAGATTTTGTGGAGTATTAATATGAGCTAAAAAACCTAAAATATCTACCACATTATTAATCAATTAAAGTTTTAAAGGGTATTTTCATAAATTATGCTATTACAAAACAAATGGGTCATTTCCGTCAAACTGTCCCTTTAATATCTTTTCTTTTCAAAACTAGGTAACACAAGTTAAAATATGATTCGTCTATTGATTTAGGCCGAAGTACCTGAACTAAGTATTTAGTTTGATTGTTGAGTATATGCGGAGGATAGTGTTTAAGGTTGAAGGTTCGAGGTTGAAGTAGAGGATATCTAGGGGGCATGAAGGTATGGGTATACACCAGGTTTATATATTTTACATTCTCTTGAGTGAAATAATTAGCATTTTCCGGATAAGGTTAATAAAAAATTTTGACATGTTTTTAGTCTAATAAACGGCTTATTTTATTTTCCGAAGATAAAATTAACCTTGATAAATGATAATTTTTATTTTTAAATTTTAAATTTATCAAAAATTTTTTACAATATGCTTTAAATAGTTATATGATATCAAACGTAAATATTTAAACTTTTCTATATTTCTTTGTTTTTCATTTTTTCTTGTTCGTACATCGTTCAATCATATTTTGGCTAATTTTGAAAAAAAAAATTTCAGACATCCTTGCAGTTTTGCTATGCTACAAGCTTTAGAACCAAGTTAAGGTGCCTCCTTTACTATTTCTACAGTACACACATTAGAAGTGTCAGCAACTTGTTGATTCAGCTCAAAACAACTGCATATTTCTGATATATTTTCTGTCAGGGTGAAATAAATGGAGGGGGGGGGGGCGTCTCCCAGTCCCAGCCCAGTCTCTAATGCTGTCTCCATTTGCTAATGGATTATAAATTGATAGTGTAAAGCCTATCATGAGTTATTTCCCTTCCAATTTTTCCTGTTCAATTTTCTTTTTTTGTTTCTTGTTTCCTGTGACATCAAGTTGTGGAGCAGGTAGGCGAGAGACAAGAAGATTTGAAGGAGGAAGGGTATCTGGTAATTCAGTAAAGATCCCTGCTTTCCTTCATGTTTAAGTCTTTCCGACTAAGCAGAAGTTTAGGAAACCCATAAATGCAAAGCTCATGCAAAATGGGGAGTTTACAGCTTTAAAGCCCCATCAGGTGGAATTTTCCACAGTAGTCCAGTCCTCACAGCCAGCCGAGTAAAAAACCGGCATCATTGAGCATGACTTGTATACCAATCAGGGGTTATACTTCTGTGCTCCTTCTTTCAGCGGAGATGTTGATGAGATGGAAAGTTGAAGATGAAGTTCTTGTTTACTGTTTTATTCCTATATTTTACTCGATAATCCCCTGTAGGATAAGTCATGAGCAACTCTAAGCAGCGCCGGAAGCTATGATGGACAGGTCCATAGTCCTTCCAAGAGCAGAAAGCATAGAGTACTATAAATACCTAAGTTTATGACCCATCAGGACTATACAGTATATAAGGTAGAATACTATAAATACCTAAAATTATGACCACATATCAGGATTATAAAAGGAAGAATACTATAAATACCTAAGTTTATGACCACACATCAGGACTATACAGGGTAGAAGAGGGAGAAGAAATCTTGCTTCCTGATGCTTAACAACAGACAACCCGATAAGCGGAATTAAGCTGGAGAAAAGCATCAGTGCGTAAACTGTTCTCATCTAGAAACAATGTCAATGCGTACAAATTGTAAATGATTTAATGTGTCACCTATTAAAACCTAAACCTTAAAAAAGGCTAGAATTTAAAAATTGCACACAAAAAAACGTTTCCCAATCAATTTATCAATAGAAAAAAATTGTTATTAAACTCAATCTTTCAATATAAAAACCATTAACTCAACTTGGTTGTCTTTAATAAAACGTAATAACTTTTGCTTAATCAATCAACTAACCAAACAATCAATAATATATAATGTCTTATGACACTAGTTATCATCAAATTGTTAAAATCAGTATCTAAACAATATGTTAAATGTTAATGTGTATAGTTTTTACATCAAAAGATACGACAATGCAGCAAGAAAATTATATCTTCTATATAATAAAGCTCTTCGCTCAGATATATATATATATGATTATATATAAATGTCGATGCAAAAAAAACTCAAATCATGTGTTGAATAATTCTTTTCTTTTTAAGGAACCCATGAGTAGGCCAGGGGAAACAAAGGCTAAAAATTCGAATTTTTTTCTTTTAAAACCAAATATTTTTTCAAATTCGAAATATTTTTTTTTAATTTTACGGGAAACGCCGGACACTCTAGCTAATATAATATAAATTGAACCGACTTACCCCAGGTTTCTTTTGCCAAGGAAGGTAACAGACATCAAGGATCCAATTGAGCACTGTGATCAGGAATACAGGGGCTAAAGGACCCAGCAGTAGAGGTAGATTTACTAAATTATTTATAGTTATATATATATATACACTATGATCAAGAATACAAGGGCTAGAGGGCCCAGCAGTAAAGGTAAGTTCACTAAATTATGAATATATATCTATATATTTTGTGTGTTTTTTGAAAAACCATTGTTGTGTAGATATTGAAAATGTATTTAAAACAGTATTTTACAATTTATAACGGCATAGTGATTAAAATTGAAGAAAAAGTAAAATATCGAAAGTAATTTTCTGATAACTTTAAAGTTACACTTAGAGCGGACCATATTTTGAAGAGCTCAAATTAAGCCTTGTCAACATTTATTATTTTATTTTTTTAGCAGGCGTTTTCACAATGTTACTAAACTTTTAATGACGACCCTAAGCATACACCTTTTAACCATAACATCATCGTTAAGTTACTTTTTCTCAACCAGAATTTACAAAAGCACCGAAAAAAATCCTAAAAATTGCTGAAAATAAAAAATCACGTTTTTTTCCTGTGGGCAAAGAATTTTATGGTTGGAATAAAAAAAATATGCATTTGTGTCCTTCGATATAAATATGAAAAAATCTAAATGACAAATAAAGTTAAAATCTGAAAGGGAACGAGAATATACGAGATAAAATTGGCAAGGAGCCCCATCTCTTGGGTAAATATTAAAGAATGACATAACATACATGAGATCGTAACTCTATTGAAGTTGCCCCTGTATTTTAAGAAAATAAATACCCTTGCGATTTTATTGAAAATTGGCAAGTTCTCTGATTTACAGTACAGTACCGCACAATACAGTAAAATACAATGCAGTACAGTGAAGTACAGTCTAGTTGATCAAGTACTTACCCAGGGTATGTGTATATCTGGGATGTTCTCCATGACTAATTATGTTGCCCGGAACAGCGTTGTACATAATAAAATTGAACGGTGCCACCTGGGGGAAAAAAAAATAAAATAGATTTTTAAAAAGGTGAAATCTAACTCATGTTCTTTTTGAGTATTTTATGAAATATAATCTTCTTCTGGTGGGTTACATGAAATAAATGTTCTGAGCTGAAAACTTGTGAATTGTGCATATCGGAATCAATGCTTGATCTCTCTTAATAGTACAAAAGCGAGCCATAAATATGATCTCAAACCTGCAAAGTGTATCATATGAGGACAAGATAAAGGAAGTTGGTATCCGAACCTTGGAAGCTAGGAGGTTAAGGTTTGACATGATACATACAAAACTCTGAACCATAAGATAGCTGTTAATCCAGATATATGGTTTATCAGGGTCCAAGACATCAGCCTAAGAACCACTCGTCAATCTGACAACTATATGAATCTACAAACAAAACAATGCAAAGGAAATTTTTCAGCAATCGAGTTGTCCAACCATGGACTAATTTACCCGCAACAATTCAGAATGCCAAGAATTCTAAATAATGTTAGATCAAGACGTGAAAATGTGAATGATATGAACAATGATGGCCAGAACTATAGCTGAACTAAAATCTTTTACAGTAAAATCAAGAAACTCTCATTATACTCCAATAGGAGTCCTGAGAATCAACACCACATAAACATAAACATAATTTTCTGAAGACTTACATTAATAGTTGTCTAAACTACAACCAATCAGGTGTCGATTGCAGAAACCGAACAGCCAATCAGAAACCAAGAAATTTTAAAAATTTTGTCGCGCAATCAATGAAAGAATTCTTTTTGGTTCGTAAACAGCAGGGATATCCAAAAGAGAGGATTAAGCAGAAAATCAGAAGTGTCAAAATGAAGCAAATATCGTGTAAACTTGATATGCTGTAAACCTGCATTTACATATTTAACAATTTATGTAGTAGACCTATACATTATGCCATTTTTAGAGTTTTCAGCTCAGTTCATGTTATTCCCATTACCCCAAAATTTATCTATATTCAATTCAGCACTAAAAACCCTAAGCATTTCAAATTTGTTTAAGGGGGTGATTATTAGATAAAAATATCTGCCCCTGCAATATGTATACCTTCCAGTCTGAGTATTTCATGGATAAATGCCACAACTTGTGTATAGTTAGATCACCGTAGTAAAGGGAATCAGTCAGTATGAGGAGAAGGCTTGTTCCCACGAATATTGGAAGCATCAACGCAATCCTTTAAATATTATTAATGTTTTACTCAATCAATCAATCAATCAATCAACATATCAGACTTTTAGGGACACCCTATGACCAGTGACCACATAAAAATCTCATCATCTTATCATCTCCTTATCATCTCATCATCATCTCACCATCGTCTCACCATCGTCTCACCAACGTCTCACCATCGTCTCACCATCATCTCATCATCATCTCATCATCATCATCCGACACGAGACGAGACAAGACGAGACAAGACCAGATCTGATATGATCGTCAGACCAAATCAGATCAGCTAAGAGGAGGACGAGGGGAAGAGAGAAAAAAATGAAGAAAAATGTAATTAACAATTTATTATTCGAAAGAAAGAGAAGGGAGATCATAACAAAATCAATTCCCAAATTTTTTTTAAATACCTGAAGTTAAAAGTTTGAAAAGGTGTGAACATTGAATGATTGAAGACGCCGCGTTGAAACCAGAAGAACAACGGTGAAAATGCATAGAAGAGGAAGGTTGGACGATTAAATACGCCGATGGCGCACACAACGCCAATTTGTACGACGAATTTAAAATCATGAGGAGGAATTTTCTTCTTTTTCTTCTGGATTTCAACTTTCTCTCTAAATAAAAACAAAATTTATTAAGTTAAATAATCAAGTAAATTTTAACATTATCCACTGTTCTTCAAATACAATAATGCTGATATATTAGGACAACGGGGGAAAAAATTATTTTAAATTTAACAATGTTTTAGACTAAATGTTGAAGAAGCGATTATTAGTTATGAAGGGGAGAAAGCAATTATTTTCCTTAAAGCTTGAAAGCTAGACGGGTTGGGAACTTGGACAAGTAATTACTAGTTTTAAAAAATAGTCTGCGACGCCATTTATTCTTTTTAAAATGCATCCTTTAGGGGATTTGTATGCGGAAGATATAAATATTGAAAAATTGTGTCTTTTTAGTTATCGATTTTGAGAAAGGAAATCGTTACCTCCGCCCAAAATTAATTCATTACCCCTAATTCGGCGATATAAAAGCCAAAATATTTCTGAAATAATAAAAGATAGAAAAATTCTATTAATTTCCATTAGCTTATGTACTTTTCCTACCGAAAAAAATTTATTTTGCTCGCAAAATTCTTTTTTTTCTTCCATAAGTTAGAATTAAAATATTCTAGCACAATGAGGATTAGTGGAAAATCATTTTTGAGAGAATCAAATCAAATCAAATCAAATCAAATCAAATCAAATCAAATCAAATCAAACCAAACCAAACCAAACCAAACCAAACCAAACCAAATCAAATAGCAATATTTGTAATAGAAAACATTGCATTGTTAGTTCTGAAGTTGTTGTTAAAACTAGGAGAAGTGCTTGAACATCCTGTTCACCATGATTAATGGTGAGACCTGAGCTGAAAACTTTAGAATTGTGGATAAATAGATCAATGCTTATCTCTTCTTTTTGTTAACCTTAAGATTATTTTAACCTTTGGTTTGTTTCCCGGAAAGTTTCTTAAATTTAACTAATCAGAGTGGTGTATGCAGAATCCCGAACAGCAAATAGATCCGGGAAATATGAAATTTTTGCACCATTTCATGACAGAACTCTTATTGGTCGGAAATCCCAAAAAATGGAAAAGAGCTGGATTAAGCAGAAATCAAACAGTGGATGTTTAGATTAAGCGATCTGTAATAATTATAAAATTTTCAGCTCTGAGCACCTTTCTGATGTCCAAGAATAAATTCCTACAATGTTCCCCATGGAGCGCAAGTAACCCAAGTTTTATTTATTTAAAGAAAACCCAATTAAGTAACGTGTTTAGCAATTAAAATGTTAATAGTTTCTCACCAATAATATTTACTCCAAGGTAGTGATATACTCCCAGATTTACCAGCCTAAGGCAGCCCAGCGGGATTCCGTAGATTACAAACGGTAACGTCGGACTCCTACCAAATCAAAACAAAACTTCAGACAAAAAAAAAACTTTTCTCTTTTTTTAATCATACCAAAAATTGAGTATTTTCCGAAACCTATGATTGTATCACCAACAAGTATTATTCAATCTTAAACGGCTTTCGTGTCAACTAAAAACTTAGACGTTTTTGGTTTGTTTTAAATGTTTTTAATCAGTGCTTAGGATTCGGATCCGTAAGATTTTGGTTTACTGGATCCGGATCCAAGGGGTAAAATATCAACCAAAAACTGTCAAAAAAAAATAATTTACTCCTAAATTTTGAAGAAAAAAAAATTTTAAAATTTCCTCATTTCTGAATGGTTCATCAAGTTTTAGGATAAAAATAAGCGAAAAAATAAAACAAAAAATTTGAAAATTATTTTTTGTTAAAAAAATTCAGTAAATCTTAAAGAAATGACCGGTGGCCGAATTTAAAGAATTTGAGCGGCGGATTAAATTTAAGCCACGGTTTAAATATGGTTGGTTCCACTTAAAATTGTATAAAATGTTTCAAGATTTAAGCCGGCGCGTAATTTAAACCGGGTTTTGGCGGATTTAAACCGCGGCTCAAATTCTTTAAATTCCATCTCTGGATACGGATCCATTTTTTTCCAATGCGGATCCAGGATGCGGATCCGGATCCACATCAAAATTGAATGGATCCTAAGCACTGTTTTCAAAGAATGTATACCTAAGCGGCTGTGTTGTATTAAACTCCCAGGTTCTGTGTACATCAAGGTCTAAAAGTACAACGATTAGATTAGAAAATATTGTAATCAAAAGCTAAAAAGGGACTGTGAGCGTAATTTCAACTGTCCATTGATAAGAGTTGCATGTTCGATTCACAATGGTAACCTTCAAAGCTTTGTCTCATCAAGTATGAAATAAATATCCATAGCTTTTTTCTATGAAAACTGTTCAGTGTTTATTTTAATTTGAACTGAGGTTTCTCTGCTTAGCTTCAGAAATAATGGATAAATCCTCAGAATAAACACTTTTCAAGAGAGAAACACGACGTTATCTTCCACATTATTGATCATATTAAAGTTTCAAGGTTACAATTAGGAATCTTAGATGAAGGGTTACTTGAAATTTGACAACAGTTCCTTTAATTAAAAATAATGGGGAGCACGTATTAGTTTGAATACATACAGTATATTTAATATAATTTAGAAATGAAAATTAATTGGAAAAGTTTTTAATTATAAAACCAACGATAAATACTTGTTAAAAATAAGGAGTTGAGTTTGGTTTACACTCTTCCTTGAAACTGAACTACAGTTTTATTAAGATTTGAGGATTTATTAATCATACTGAAACTTTCAAGGTGCAAGACAATTTCACCGACTTTTATCTAAAATATGATGCACCTTCAGTAAGTAATTTGCCTTAATTCTTTGTAAGCATCACAATTTGCCATACCGTAAGAAAAGAACATTTGTTTAAATTGTAAATATAATAAATTTTAATATTAAGTCAGGATCATGACATAAAAGCAAAATAATGACCCAAAAACAAACAGGTTGTAACGACTAACCATAGTTTAATAAATGCAAACTTCAACATGTTTTAAAGTCTAGAAAGTTTTTTTTAATTTTTAGTTACAAGGCAGCAAATTCAGTTTTTTTCCGAATGAAATTCTTTTATTTGCTCCAAAATCCCTAGAAACAAATCAATTTAAAAAATTAGGGGGGATGATTTTAAAGAAAGATATACACCCCTGACTCTCCATAACAACTTATAATTAAAATAATAGATAATTCTTACCGAATATATCCCCCATGGTAACCTCTAGAGATTGAAAGTACTCATCAGGATGAATGTAACCAGAATTCCCAGGTACAAATACTACAAAACCAAACATAAACAAATAATAATAAAAGAAAAGAAAATTATTTTTTAAAGATATTCTTAAATGAACAGAGCCAAAAACTTTAGAATGGTGGATATCAAGATTAATGCTTAAACAAACCCAAGATTACTTTAGAACGCATTCGATATCCAAGAAAGAAGTGTCATGTTAAGATGTACTGTTTAACTTTTGAAAAACCGGTTTTGATTTCTGGTGTTGATGGTGTCAAATAATTGAAATAAACATCTATTAAACGAACGTAAGTTTTGGATTAATATTTATTAAGACCAGTACTTAGGATCCGGATCCGTAAGATTTTGGCTTCCTGGATCCGGATCCGCAAAAATATGCGGATCCATGGGGTAAAATATCAACCAAAATTTCAATCTACCTGCGTTTTTCTATAAAAAAAAACATTATTTTCGAGTACAATTGTTCTTCAACAAATTTTCTGCAGATTTGTACTTGGAAAGAAAATGTCAGAAATTTTATTAAATAAACAGTTTTCAAGTTATAAAAGCGACAATATCTTCCACATAATTGATTAGATAATGATTGAAAGAGTGTTGTTGGAAATCAGACGTACCTCACAAAGGGTCAATTAAAATTACGACCATGTTCAGTCCTTGAAATAATTTCTTGAAGGAAATAATTCAGGCACAAATTGAATAAAAATTGTGTAGGAGGGGGGGGGACTGTTCATATACCCCTTAAATAAACTAAAAATTGAGAGGGAGGAGATAACAAGAAACTGAATAGGAATAGATTTAAAAACTCAATATTAATTTAAAAATAATTAAAAATCAACGAGAAATCTCCAAGAATTACTGTTTGATTAAGTTTTCCTAACAGTATCCGTATGAGAATGAATATCCAATAAATGTCCCAAATCCGCCACCATAAATCCACAAACTCCTCAACCTTATTCAATACAACATCCGGCACAAACAGGCGGACCAGCTCTTCATATTTCTCCGCCTCGTATAAACGGCGGATTTCTTTAACCGCCTCTTTCCGCCGGAAAATGCTGATCTGATGTTTCTTTGATTCGACCAGAGCCCTTTCCTGTTTGTAGCCTTTCAGGGCTATTCCTAGCTTCGTCGCATCCCAGGCAACCTAAAATGTAAAATAAAATCTAAAAATCCTAAAAAGTACTATAGACGCAAACCCCCCCCCATTCACAATCAGTTACGCCATAAGAATCCAGACATTAGAATTTCATACCTTAAGTATTTGAGGAATCCAGACCATGGTGATAGTATTTAATCCATTTTATTCATGAGATGAGCTGTCAATTCATCAGTTTTCAGCTTCGAGAACAATCGATTTTTACATTATATCTTTACATGAATATAAATTTTATCCAACCGCTTAGCAAAAAAACACTGAAATTAAGCAGTTCAAACAGTAATGTTTCATTAGGAAATGACTAAAGCCCGACCCGGCCGACGCAATTCATTCAAAACTCAGCCTCCTTAGCCCACCGCCGGGCCTCCCCAATAATATACCAAGAAAAAAAATACGTGAAAAATAAAAAAAACAAAAAACGAGAAAAAACATAATTCACAAAAATATCTCAACTATGATCTTTGTGTAGGAGTTCTGAACGAAAGAGACGCTCAGGTTTGAGATCAAAATGTTTGATATGAGGAAAATATGCGCAATGCCGCTGAATCCATGAAAATCGATTTTACGGCTTTGGTGTTATGCGGACAATATGTTTCAGAAACTCTGGTTTTCATTTGTCACTCAGATTTCGGTACCCGCTCATCGAACCTAGAGGAAACGAACCTATTGAGTTTCCAACCTAACCCTTTTCCGACCTAGTGGGTGCTTCAGGGGGGTACGAGAGCATTTGTGTAGGGGGGAGGGGAAGCATATTTTGCGCGCCAAAAAAATGTTGTGTCCCGTGTGCCAACATTGTGCCGACTACCCCAGCCTTCCCTACCCTTCTCTATCCTTCCTTAACCATTTCCTATCATTCCCTACTCTTCCATACTTTCTCTACTCTAACCTAACCTAACCTAACCTAACCTAACCTTCCCTATATCTAACATGACCTTCGACCTACTCTCCTTATAACCTAATTCTTACTCTAACCTAACCTTTCTTTCTCTATAACCTAACCTTAACCCTACTCTTCCCTACCCTTCCCTACTCTGACCTATAACCTTCCCTACTCTAACCTAACCTTCCCTACTCTTCCCTACCCATTCCTTACTCTAGCCTAACCTATGTAACTTCCTCTAACCTAACCAATTAACCCTACTCTTCCCTACCCTAACCTACTCTAACCTAACCTAAATTACTCTAACCCAACCTTCCCTACCTATTCACTACCCTGTTCCTTTCCCAATCCCTTCCAGTAAACCCCTTCGCTTCCCCCTCCCTACACCTTTCCTTTCCTCTCCTTCTTCCCCCCTCCCCCCTCCATTCTTCTTCCCTTCCCTTTCCCTCCTCTTCCCCTCCCACCCCTTCTTGTATGATAACAAGTGATGATGTTGAATTCTCTGCTGGTTTCTTGAATGGTATGTATCGGATCCACATTATGATTGATGTTTCCGGAATTTATCTTTTCTATTATAATTCTAAACTTTCTATTTCCGGCTCCCTTCGATTCTTCTCATATCTTCATTTGACAAGTTTCATTTTACATCTATATCCGTCTTCGGATATATTCTTCTATATATTCAGATATCCGTCTTTGTATATATTCTTCTATATGTTCATGTATCCGTCTTTGGCTTTATTCTTCTATTGTTCAGATATCCGTCTTTGGATATATACTTCAATATGTTCAGATATCCGTCTTTGGCTCTATTCTTCTATTGTTCAGATATCCGTCTTTGGATATATACTTCGATATGTTCAGATATCCGTCTTTGGATATATTCTTCAATTGTTCAGATATCCATCTTTGGATATTTTCTTCTATATGTTCAGATATCCGTCTTTGGATATATTCTTCTATTGTTCAGATATCCGTCTTTGGATATATTCTTCTATTGTTCAGATATCCGTCTTTGGATATTTTCTTCTATATGTTCAGATATCCGTCTTTGGATATATTCTTCTATTTGTTCAGATATCCGTTTTTGGATATATTCTTCTATATGTTAAGATATCCGTCTTTGGATATATTCTTCTATATGTTCAGATATCCGTCTTTGGATATATTCTTCTATATGTTCAGATATCCGTCTTTGGATATTTTCTTCTATATGGTCAAATATCCGTCTTTGGATATATTCTTCTATATGTTCAGATATCCGTCTTTGGATATTTTCTTCTGTAACTTCAAATATCCATTTATGGATATGTTCTACTATATGTTTCTCTCTATAAATAGAGAGGAAAAAAAACATTTTATAATTATATTAAATCAGAACAATTTTGATTAAATGATAATTATATTAAATCAGAACAATTTTGATTAAATGATTTGCTTTGAATAAAAAAATTTTCCGTGAAAACACGTCTTTTTCAAAAATTGATAATTCATAATTCCAAAATGTATTTTTCACATGTTGTCATTTGCCATTTTGGTTAAACTAATAGTTTTCATCCTGTCTTGGTTTTATCAAACACCAACACAGCAGCTCACACTTTATATCTTTCAAGCTTGGCTGAAAATCCATCAGTCATTTTGTAAACTATAGTTTATTCATTCAATAATAACATGTCACCACTACCAAAGATAATAAAATACACTAGACAGGACAGAAGTGTAGCAAGGTATTAGAGTACAATTTAGAGAAGACAGCAAATCCAGAAAAAGGAAACGCTAGTCAGGACAGCAGCGTAACCAAAGGTATTAGAATACACTAGACAGGACACAGCAGCGTAACCAAAGATATTAGAATACACTAGACAGGACACAGCAGCGTAACCAAAGCTATTAGAATACACTAGACAGGACACAGCAGCGTAACCAAAGATATTAGAATACACTAGACAGGACACAGCAGCGTAACCAAAGGTATTAGAATACACTACACAGACAGCAGCGTAACCAAAGGTATTAGAATACACAAGACAGACAGGAGGGTTACCTTGTGTATTGTGTATTAGAATACACAAGACAGGACACAGCAGCGTAACCAAAGATAATTGAATACACTAGACAGGACAGCAAATCCGCCAAAGATATCAGAATACAGTATAACATAATTGTTTAAACAAAAAATATCTTTGTCAATTTTTTAAATAAAAAGTAGAATAAATATGTAGAAAAGGCCATAAAACGTAACATTAAAAGCTAAAGTTAAAAGTAATTACCTTTCCTCTCTAGAATGTACATGTCTAGGGCAATATTTCAAGTCCCCGGTCAGTTAAGAATGTTACCTCTAAAATTAGGTTGACGAATGAAGGCTACAAATCATTTCAATGATCAAAGAGATCTTTAAGCGATTCATGAACTTTCATCTTTTGTGGGATACCCCACCCCGTATGTAAACTATTATCATAAAGGGAAGGATATTGCAGTTTTTTAGTCGTTATTTTCAAAACTTTAGCTTTTATGTTAAAACTTTACATATTTCTTTACGTTTAGTATATAAACCAGATCTATAATCGAATCCCATAAAAACAAAAGAGAACAGATTTACAAAGTTATGAATTCAAATTGCAAAAAACATATTTTCTTATTTTCATAAAATCTACAAGTTTTTACTGATATACCAACCTCGGATATTTTATTTAGTAAAATTTATTTCTAGGAGGATTCATAGTTGGAAATATTTAAGGTTTACGAGATTACAACATCAGAGCTGGGAACTTTGGAATTGGAAACCCTTAATCCCGAGAATCCCGATCACTTAATCCAGAAACTGAAACTTAAATTCTTTATTACAAAAGTTTAAGCGGTCAATTATTTTTATGTTGTTCAACGATTGGATGTCAAATCCAGGGTGTTTATATGGGCATCTGGGTATATGCAGATGATATTATTCTGCTTTCTCCTAGCAGAACAGGTCTTCAGGGAATGGTGAAAATTTGTAAAAAATTTTGCCAAAGCTACTAAACTGAAATTTGAAGCAAGTTCTAAGCTTTGGATTAGATTTATTTCTAATTTATGTAAAAATGACCTTTGCAAAAATTTATTTTCTATTGCAAATGATTGTTCTGTAAATCCTTTGGATCTTAGTAAAATGTTTGTTAAGAAACAAATGAAATATTTTGATGTCCCATTGAAACATGCATGGAAAGTTCCGGTTTTACAAGAACTTTTAAATAAAAGAGCGAATAATTTATATGTTGAAGGATTCGATAATTGCGTAAAAACTGAAAAGATAAATATGTTATCTAATGAGTAATGATCAATGTCGTTTATTTGGCATAATTTTGCATATTTTTCTCTTTTCTTTTGGAAACCTGTATACAAATTTAAACTACACCATTTATATATGTATTTATATCTTTGTGTGTGAATAAATCTTTATAATAATAATAATATCACGGTTGGTAGGTATGTTAAACAATAAATTAAGCTGTATATTTGTGTATCTGTCTGAATATATGGCTTTTTTCACTATGAAGTCTAAATATACCGAAAACTGAAGGGTTCACAGAAAATATGATATTTGTAATTTTTTCTCAGATTTTAGCATTGTGACATTCAGTATGAATGTGTAGGATAGGCTGATGGAAAGATACCTTTACATTNATATTTACCTCAATCTGAAAAAATATTTTGCTAGATAAACAGACATTTTTAGCTTGATACAGATAGGTTCTAGAGAAATAGCTAGTTATAACATATTTAGCGTAATATAAAGCTAGCCTCTAGAGAAACAGCTAGATATAACATATTAAGCTTTATATACAGTTAGCTTCTAGAGAAACAGCTTTATTATTAAGCTTTATATATAGTTAGCTTTTAGAGAAACAGCTAGATATGACATATTTATCTTGATATACAGCTAGCTTCTAGAGGAACAACTAGATATGACATATTTAGCTTGATATACAGCTAGATTCTAGAGGAACAACTAGATATGACATATTTAGCTTGATACACAGCTAGATTCTAGAGGAACAACTAGATATGACATATTTAGCTTGATATACAGCTAGCTTCTAGAGAAACAGCTAGATATGACATATTTAGCCTGAAATACAACTAGCTTCTAGAGAAATAGTTAGATATACAGACATATTAAGCTTGAATCACAGATAGCTTCTAGAGAAATAGTTAAATATACAGACAAATTAAGCTTTATATACAGCTAGTTTCTAGAGAAATAGTTAGATATACAGACATATTAAGCTTTAATCACAGATAGCTTCTAGAGGAACAGTATAGATATGACATATTTATCTTGATATACAGCTAGCTTCTAGAGGAACAACTAGATATGACA